CGGTTCTAACGCCCTTAACAATGCTTTTAATTGTTCAATGGCACCACGTCAGCCGTGTCATATATCGTGAAGAAGGATGACTTTGCCTCTTCTATAGGATCTTTTCTGTTAGATGGCCTTATTCGTTCGATGTAAGTGATCCTGTTTTCTTAACTATGCCACTCTATGCCAATCCCGTCGGATGCAAATGATGGTCTTCGGAAGATCGCGGTCTGACTTACTTCTAGGCTTTTCAAGCTATCGATTGATTTGTTTGCTTCACATGGACATAAAAGTGTCACTTCTTGTCGTTCGTCATAAAAACTCAGTAAAGAAATAATCAAACGGCGAGAGGAAAGCGGACATTAAAGGAAACGTTTTTGCTTACACGTTAGGCTTATAGTTGAAATAATGATTCCAGAAGTAAAGGTTCAAGTAAAAACAAACCTAACTCACGTTTATAGTTCTCTGTTTATTCGCGCTTGTTTGTTTTTCTCGTTCATATATATATATATATATATATGTATATATATATGAATATTATAATCTGTTATTGTAGTAGCTGACGTTGTTCTTGCCATATCATTCAACATTATGGCCTAATGTCCATTTGTTTAATTCTAATCAACAATATCAAGGCCTTCCAATGCATTATAAAGTGTGCTTTCTTGTAGATCTAAACGCGTCTGCCGACATCCGACGTGTACACCCGTGTGATACGGCCTACCTATCTAAGGCCTCAACGAAGATAAAATGAATGAAACAAATCGACACCTGAGTTAAGAGAGGAAGCCGCAATACGATTTTTTCCTATTTGGCATTTTCAATTTCTAGAATACTCTATCATGAACCATTTTTACCAACCAGCAAACTACGGTTTTATGAGAGTGACTTCGTGCATTTCGATTTATATGGTGACTACCTCAACAACAGGTTGGGGTGATTTCTCTCGAACAAAAAGTAACGAACTAGGTACGATTGAGCTGATCATCACCATGTGCTCATGAAAAGTCGTGAGTCTTTGGTACTTTAGTCTATCTCTAATTCAACCTACGTTGACTCACGCACAATGACGAGACAAAGCTTTATTTTGTTACGACAACAACACATAATAATTTTGGCATAGAGTGTCAAGACTTGTGTATACGATTATTCCGATTCTCCGTTCATAAAAAATCAGCCCCGATAAACATTGCCCGCGTCGCACAACGCACGGGCTTGCGCTTAGACCAACCTCGCTAAAAGAGATTCATTATCACATTTTCTCATCACCAATTAAACGAAATACGGACCTTTGCTGTTTGAAAAGAAGGTGTAGCTTGAAATTGTAGCTGGACGGTATTTTCTCGTCTATGCGGACGATAAGAGCTCCCATTCAAACGTCCTCATATACGTATACTATATAAGACAAGTTCATTAGCTTTATATCTGAGTCAGAATGATAAATTCACTTAAGCCATGCACGGGGATGTTCATCGGATAGCGTCTTTTCTTTTTTCTGACCCCTTCCAGCTTTCTGGAGCGGAAAGCATGCGATTCTGCACGATCTGACAATATCCCTTTAACAATCACACCTGTCCCAAGGACAGTCAATAGTCCTTCCTTCTTTTCCCTTCGGTTATATAAGGCCCAAAAGTGAGCAATCCTCCGGCTTGCCTGCGATCTAACCTGTAGCATAAGTTTCGAGCTTATTCCTTTACACCGACACGAACGACCTCTCGGCCTCCTATACTTCTGATTCTGACTTGACACTTGCTATATATATATATATATATATATATATATATATATATATATATATATATATATATACGACATAATAGGGTTTCCCAGGCTTAATATGCTTATATATATATATATATATATATATATATATATATATATATCATTATAGGTACGCGCGTTGTATTTCTGGCATTCTTGCCGTGGGCACCATCGGGGCTTTCATTTTCGTTATCGTTTCATAATTTGGTATCTCACAGAGACGACACACAATATCTTGCAGTATAAGTATCTAGCTAGTAATGATATCTGTAATAATGAGTTTCTGGCAATCCGCTCTCAGTTTGACGTACTTCATCAGCTAATCTTATTCGATGCTGATACGGCTTCGGATCATCATCGAAAAAAGCATTTGTTTTCTAGATACTTCGTTCGTCACCACGTTCGAACTATGCGTGTATGTATGTGTGTGACATAAGCAATTGTTTCATTTGCGAGGAGTCCGTCCGAAAGACAAACAAGAAGCGGTCTCGTAACAAGGAATCCTTTGACACGGATTAAGCCTACATAGAAAATCATAAAGGTCAAATACTTCATCGCGATATAAACCTGAATCCAAGATAGCATGTATAAACAAACATAAAAATCACTGGCAAATACGTTTTTCAAAAATTTTCTAATGAAAACTAGCAGACGAACAAGCAATGGCCACGAGCGATTACAGTGTTGACAAGTTTGTCGGTCTTAACTAATCGTTTGTTCGGGCCGAGTGATTTTTGAGAGAAGCGAGCTCGTCCATCTTTGTTTTTCTTTTTTTAGTTTGAGGTAGCAATTCGATTTGTTTTGATTTTTCGAATTTATAGTAGTAAAAGACGTCAGCTTGCCACACGTACGAGCTCACTTATGTCGTTGTGATCGGAGGGTAAACATAATATTTACGCAGATGCCCATAACCGGCAAAAACTCAAGTTGTTGTAACGCGCGTACATGTAAGGTGTTATAGAATCGCCGTACTAGCGGGACAGTTATTATCTATTGGCAACCATTACTCCTGTTATAGTTGATGACCATTCGACCACAGATTATCATTACTCTTACATACAATAATATATATTAATAATATGTAAAATACCGATATATGCGTTAGGTCCATTGCTATCATCATCGTTATCGCCTACTTGATATATATGTATAAACATATATATACCAATATACTTGTGTTTTTTTGTAGTTTTGTTGCTTTTTCTATAACTTGGTCGTAATCACTGCTTCAGCTACTTTTGTCGGTATCGAAAGGACCACAACTCGTAATTTGCAGGCTTTCTTTCAGAAGCTGTCAGCGCCTTTTTTCAGCAGATGGACCGCAAACAACCTCTGGCCAGTCGAGTGGTGACATGAGGATTTCCCCGCTGTTTGATTTGTCGTAGTAGCCAGTGGGTTATCTCTCATAGTGACTCTTCGCTCTTCCTCTCTGATTCGGCTAACTAAAGGCACATAGGCCGCGTTGCTTATGGATGGATAACAAAATATAGAATTTCGTATAGATGTTTTCGTAATGCTCTCATACCTATATATGTACATATAGTCATCATACACATAGACACAAAAATACTGTTTATCTCCTTACTACATTTCATTGTTTTGTAGCGTTATTTGACAGGGCCAGCTCGAATTTTCCTACAGTCCACTCATAATTGTCATATGCAATCAGCGGCTCTCAAACACCAACGTATATACATACACTATGGAGCATAATTGGAACACCTTAACCGCAGAGCCAATTGGTGGGCGACAGGTCCTTTTCGTCGTAGGTCTGCTGCATAACTGCTGTTCGCTGTGCCTTTACTCAGGTAGAAACCGCTAGCACTGCTACAAGCACAAGTACTACTACGAGCGTACCGAATTAAACTATAGCGACAATGGTGAACAGCGCACGTTCGCAATTCTTTTTAACACAGCAGTTTGTTCCACCCTCTGCCCAAAGTAGAAACCTATATTTTGCCGTAGAAACATCTTGAGGTTATCCGATCGACTAATTTATGCGTCTCGTAACTGATGCATTTTTTGTCGAAAGTTATTCTAGCTGGGCCTTTCTCAGTATTACGGTCAGTATACGTTCTCTCTTGTCAGTGGCGTGACACACAGAAATACCTTGTAGCTGGTGGGCAAACCTCAATCTGTTTCTAGAGCCGCTCGGTTTGAGGATTCGTCTTCGACGCCAGCATTACAGCGACAGCAGACGACTGCGATCAATAAAATCAATCTCTGCGAACATAAACATATGTACATAAACGCCGTATGCGTAATGTGTGACGATCAAACATCTTCAGTGGCAGCCATTGGTTTTTCGGCTAATTCTCGACAGAAACACCATTGACCGAACGTCCCGAGTACACATTTCGTAAATGTTAACATCTGTAGGAAACATACGGAAAATCACATAAATTTTCACTACTGTGATGAAATGGAACGTTGTTTTTTCGTACGCTTAGCGAGTCTGGTACATAATTGGTACTGCGTCGGTGCTTCGTAACTTTTCGGCTAAACTATAAGACGTCTGCAGGTCCATCAACGCACATTAACATCTACATAATCTAAACAAACAAGACTTTAGTCTTTCAAATAAAGTCATGCAATGCTCATGTGTTGAGGTAACTCAACTAAGCAGACAGATAGCTTGATCGTATGTTCTTGTTTCCCGAAACGGCTAAACATGAAACAGACGCCCGATTTCCAAAATCCAAACGACGTTGTAAGCCGTTTAGCTTGTTAACACAGCTCGGCAATGAATACATATTCATATTAGAATAAGGTGATTACCGTAGAGGACCGTAGGACGTACTAGAGGCCTTTGGAGGGATTGTCGTTGTTCGGGTTGAAATTTCCCCATCCTGCTCCATTCTGTCGATATAGTTGGTGTGGTCCAGATTGTTATTAGAGTCTACGCATCTTCGTTTCCCAACGATATCCTAGGTACATTTGCTTGTTGTCCAACATTAGATACGTAACTCAGCGGTATAAGGCCATGATTTCGTCGGTGTGTATCGTCGGCGATTTTCGTGCTTTGTTCTTTTCTATGCGTAATATATAACATATACTATTTCGAGGCTTTCCTGTACAGCCCCCTCTACGTGATCGTTGACCACCCCCATTGTAACAAACCTCATCACCGTTTTGTCAAAAATCACTTGTCCTTCAGCAAGTGGATAACGAACAATGCCTATAATTAACAGCAAGGGGGTGTCGAATAATAAACATAGCATTAATAATAATCTTCATCTAATAGTAACTGTCCTTGATGGTTCAACATAACTCAGTGGCCCGGCAAGGCATCTGGAAGACATGTATTTACAAAGTATACATCGTACATCAACACCGAATCGGCACGAGTTGCGTTAGCGAATTAGATGGCCAACTAGATTCTTCCTGTTCGCCGACACTCACATCCACCCACAATCATCTTGAATAGTTGCGACCATTAAAGCTGCCTCAGGTGTTTCCTGCCGAAGCGGATGGAAGAAGACAGACAAAAATGTCGGCGCAAATGACCCAGCGATGGCCTTGTCTCGATTCCGGTCTTCATCACAGGTTTTTTTCGAGCTGTTGTTGCTACTGTCGTTGTTACGTGCAGCGAGGGTCGACTGCACGATCATTTATTTCGCAGAACAACTGTTTCGCAGCCCGTCTAGGTTCGCGCGGTTCTAACGAAAAAACACGGAACGAGCACTTCACATGGGTACAGATCGAGGACTCGACAGCAGACTGATGTTTGTCAATGACCTCGATTCAAATAAAAATTACGCTTGTTGCGATTATGAAGCCTCTTGGATGTCCCAAATCTCGGCAAGAAATGGTGGCAGTTCCTTATTCTGTTTGAATTTGATGTTGAAACACATCTCCGAGTTCATGTTACCCAATGTACGTAATTCAGTCAAAATGGCGAGCAGTTTAGCGAAGTGCGCGGGCGACCCCGGCGGATTTCGATGATTCTCCGAGTACCGGCGAAGGGTTTCCACATAGAACATTTGTACTTGTTCAACCTTATCAGGTTCAAGTAGGGCCGGACGTTCTAAAATGTCCAAAAAAACAACGAAAATACACCGGATTAGTCATGCATTTCAATGATGAAATAATTATTGAGGGGTAGTGGTTGAGGTGATGAGCAATGCAAACTACTCCTATAATCTCTAGCTTGACCAACGACTTTATCGCTGACATCATTATCAGATCTATTCATATGTGATTATTACTACGAGGCAAATACAAAATCGAATTCTAAATGTCCTATTATTATTATTATTATTATTTCAGCACCTTGGTTGCCTTTAGTAGTAACTGATATATACATTTCTCTGGCTGATTATATGAATTTATCAACTAGAGTACGCACGGAAGGGTGAGTTAGTCTGTCAGGTTTACCTGAGAAGATAACGATTGCTGTTAACAGGGCATATTCCGCATTGTCGACACGGAGGTTGCACATATTTCGGCAAAACTGAAACAGCGCGTCGGCATTTTCGCCCACCGACGCTGATCGATAGTTATCGAGCGTATAGGGCTGGTTATTCGCGAACACAATTGAATCTGTGGCGACGTCGTACTTGCGTGCTCCACGCAGCATCATCACCTCGCTCGAACACGCCTGAGTCAACAGGAAATGTTAGACCGGTCAATTTGGAACTTCGTCAAAACAATACGCACCTTTGAGAAATCTAAGTAATTCCGTATAGGGACTTACGACGTTATCAATGAACTACTTAGCTGTCGGTAGAAAATATGTTTCATGCTATATTTAATTTGAAGCCGTTTGAGGGCAGTTTTCAGCACTTGACAGCTGCCTTGGCACGTACAAACAGCCCCTTCTGGGTGATAATACACCGTATTAGTTAACCACTAACCTTAAGTAATGTGATCTGGTCTTCGCGCTGTAACGTATCAAATCCAGGCACACGCTTGCTGAACTCGACGATCAGCTGGACGGTAAGTATCGTAATCTCAGTAATGTGTTCGAAGCGTTTTTGGCTGTCTTTTTCGGAGCATCCCAAAGGGAACCCTGTGACTCTAGTGACATCTTCAGGTGATGGTGACTCGAACTCTAGTTGGTAGTAAACCAGCCTATTGATTAGGCACTCTTGATCAGATGTCAAAGGACACACCTAACGAAAACGCCGATTCAGTAATTGTCGTATGATTAGTCTACATCAGATTATGAGGAAGTAGACCCCCCCCCCACCAACGTTTCTTCGACAAATCTAATATGAAGATCTATAGCATTTGGAAGATTAAACTTATATCTTTTTAACAAGTGAACATCAAAAACTGTATGTTGACTGGTAATTCTAACCATGGCGACGTAATAGGAAAAGTCTTACCTCTCGTATAGCACGATTAAGGGCTGCCAGATTTGGTTTCTCGTCGTGTACTTCGACGGCTTCAGGGGTGCTGGCATTGGGTTTCAGTGTTTCTGGGTCTGGTTTCTTCTTGTTTTGACGCTTCATGACGTTTTGAGATTCAGGTACAACACAGTCCGGCCTCATCCCCACACTAATACACTTCCGGAAGCGGCAATGTTGACATTTCCGTCGCATGTACATATCCATTTCGCATTGACCGCCGTACTTACACTGATACCTAGCCTTCCTTGTGATTGATCGCCGAAAGAAGCCTTTGCATCTAAAGTTATATGAAAAGGTCTTCCTTAAAAAACTGGTATTTTCTTGGTAAAAAAGCAAGAAACCATTCTCGTTACATTTAGTCGCGAGACCTAATTGACAGCTGCTATTTAAGACGACATCTATGTCTTACGAAGAAATTGACTTCGTAACCGCGTAATATCTGACTCAAATGCCCGCAGACTTTTAATGAGATCATGGAGAAAATTCAGTGAAAAGCTCAGCAAACCTATGCTAAAAGGACTTGCTTCACTTTTATGCCTGCTGACTATTTCTTTTTATATTTATATTGGATGTCTAAGTGTTTTAAACTACAAGCAGCTTCTTCTACTCCAACTATGTGCAAATGTTGTCAGGCTACAAGCTTGCTGTGCAAACTAATGCACAATATGCATATTACTAAAAGTGCTTCACTTGGAAACAGGTGGAAAATGAGGCAGAGTTTATGACTAGTTAACACGTATCCAGAGTAAAGCGCTCTGGAAAGCTAAAGAGGCCTACCAGCCCTAACTAGAGGTTAATTTAAAATAACTAAACATAACCAGGCTGACGCGTGTTGTACCCATGTAAGTGCATAGGAAGGAAGCACAATACAGGACATGACGCTAGAAAAGCTGCATACAGCAGAGTTTATCTGAGGACCGTTTTTCTCAGCCCACCATCTATCTATTCATCTGCTCTCGTATACACGTTGCTTCGTTGTTGAACACCGATGCGTTTCGTAGCGACTTACCCTTCACAGGTGAGGGCATTATAATGGTAGCCGGAAGCGCGGTCGGCGCACACGAGGCAGAGCTCCTCTTGTTGCCGCGACTGGGGCCCTCCGGCAGACGAGGGCCCAGTCGGTCCTCCAGGTTTCTTCGAAAAAAGAGTTCCTTTGAGATCTCCAGCATCACTCTGAATGGTTTCGCTTCCGGAATTGCTGCTACTGTAACCAACAAGCATTCAGATGTTCCATTCTTTCTCGTAAACTTATGACATACAGCATGGTCGTTGTCTAGTGAGTAAAAAAAACTGGTTGGCAGTTGCATGCAACATTTCTATCTTGCAAACATTATCACGGACAGAGCTTTACTGCAAGCTATATGAATATATACATAAAGAGACGTGTAAAAAACTGAAGATGTTGTACATACTGATAGCTAAATTTTAGGGGTGCATTGATTCTTAACATTTATATGGAAAAATAAGTATAGCCGATGAATTCACACCTGTTGTTGTTATTGGCATCAAGAGCCGATGTAATTAGCCCACTAGGGGATCGTCCAAGCGATTCTGTCCCTGCACAGCCAGGGACTGACTTCCCTACGCCATCTAGACTAACTCCTTGGATTCCCAGATTTAGGGGTCCACCGGATGACACTCCTTGGTAGTAGTTCTTAGGAGCTACGTTACGGTTGCCAAATACGCTAGAAGCAATATTGCTGCTTACTAGGCCGCTAGGAGTGCCACTACGGTTCCCATACGAAGAGGTTACAACGTTTCCAAATACACCATTACTTTCATTTGACGCTTGCGATAGTGAAGTTAAACCTGATGACGGCAGCGAACAATCCTTGTCTGAAATAAGGCCAAAAACAAAGCTCGATATTTAGCTCCTGTCCACGAAGACTAGCCAAAATATTCAGTGAAGATAACAGGTCTATCCATAAGCACAAGACATGAAACGATCGCCCCACCTCACTAAATCAATTTTGTCAGTTTTCCCATACGGATACGTCACCCGGAACCTTTTGCTCCAACCTTTGCATACAGAGAACACAGTTCAAGGAAAAATGATGAGCACTGCAAGATTTTGTTTGCTCTTTTTCAACACCTTCCACTTTACGACCTTCATATTACGCTTGACTAATAATAAGCAGGGCTTATCTACTGTACGAAGCACGTTTATGCGGCTATAAAACTATGCTGCTATTATTATCGTAACGGAGGAGGAGTTAGAAGCGGGGGACAGAGAGCGAGCGGGAAGGTTCATATCAAAATAATAAAAGAACAGGAAAAAAAGGCCTCACAAATCTGCCTTACTTAGCCATATTATAAATATCTATAATCCTCAGAGAGAACAACCAGTCGTGTTGTTGGGCCTATGCGCATATTAGGAGGGCTATAAGTTCATATTGTACTTCCACTCTATATGTCCGTTAATCACTGTGAGCGGCAGCTGTAGGATACTGACAGTATGAAAGAAGAAGATGAAACAAAACGGAAGACACCGCCAATGAAATCCGAACGGTTGATGAGATCCGAGCTATTAGCGAACTTGTCTGGAACGTTTCAGTAAACTCCGTACGTAAACGGCAACAACAACCAAAGTTCGCCCTCTCGTACTAACTGACAATGAATAAAGTTGGCCATGAAGAAGAAGAAAAAAGTTTAATGATAAGAGTAAACATACGTATTACTAGATCATACGGCTTTTATGATGTATGATGCATCAACTTAGCAGTTTTTGTTACGAGTCACGATCAACAGTATATTCTTCTAATAAGGCAAGCATTTCATTGATGTCGCTTCCCTAAATACAATATTTGCGCCAGGGGCAAGAACTTTTGGACCAACCTAAGTTGAACGCTGAACTATTCATTTACTTATTCATCGAATTCTAGTTCGACATCGTACCTGTCGACGAGACATTACCGACGGCTGGTGCAGGCATCAGAAACAGGGTCAGTTCAGAATTTATCATTATATTGTTGAAAAACTATAATTGTACATATAATTCTTCTTTGTACGACGATGTCGCCTTGACTGCTATATATATATATATATATATATATATATGTAATTTTATCTTGTACGCGAGATGACTGAACATGGACGAATTCTAGACGAAAAAAAAGGTAACGAAGTTGAATTTCTAGATACTATAGACGCTGTGAATGCCTCTGAGACATTTTTCTGTCACCACTGATGCCGCATAGTCAGAACATCGTCATCGGAAGAGTTTATATGGCTTCTGATGCTATTTCTATTAGTTTTCAGAGGAAGTAGAAATTGGTTGTCAGGAACGACGTCAGCAATTTTCGAAACAGAATTTCCGGCATTTTGCGCAGATGGTTACTCTCTGCCTTTATGGAAGAAACAACTAGAGGCTGATATATGTCCTGCTGAGTTGAAAGACACATATCCCACTAAAAGTTTAAAAGGAACCATTTTAGGTACCCTGACAAGAGTCTACATCGAAGTCTATAGTCACCTGAGCCATCATATAATGAACGCCTTAAATGGCCAATGCGCCACCATTATTTTATCCAAATTGTTGAATATCCTTTTTTTTTTTTTAATATATATATATCGTGGTTCTGGATTGAGCAACCCACGTGTTTCGAAACAGAAGATCTTAAACGATAAGCCACTGAGTAACGGTCAGCGCCCACTCCGTTCCGCTGAAGAGCAATATCGAAATTCTTCGGCGACGGAGCCGAAAGGAAGCTTGTTCGTAACTCACGCATCGTGAGCTGCTTCTAAGAAATGAAAGCATATTTACTTACCTTTCCTATGAGACCCTGCTATGCGTATAACAAACGTTCCCTGCTCCAGCTCACACAAACGCTGCCAATTTTCCACCAGCTCTAGTGGTACAACAAACGTTTAATTACTAAACACGCATTGCTCGATAGTTTCGATTACAAATTGCTAGACGCATAAATAAATGCCTGTGGAATAAGATGTCTACATTTCCTTAAGGTTTTTACTTAATTCAGCTTTGTTTTTTGATAGTCCTACTTTTTGACTGGGATTTGTAAGCAAGCAACCTGTTCAAAAGATTAAGTTCGAGGAAAGAAGCCACTGGAGCAAAGCACTCCAATGTTGAATTTCAATATTATGTACATTACGAAAAAATATGCAAATACAAAGTAAAAGTTACCAAACGAGTTTATACTATGTATACTTGTTTGAACGTTTTTCCCTTATGCAAATTTCAAGCGCTGGCCTAGTTTCAGGACGCGACTCGAGGATATTTTGTAAAACCAACATCCCCATAAATAGTTGAATTTGTCGAACAAAAATGCTTAGCCAATTGGCCGGGTAATTCAAAAGCAGACGTATTATTCTGGGTTTTGACAGTTTGACAGTCCCGTTCGTGGGTACTGGCCTAGGAAACATCAGTTCTGAACAGACCCCTACCACGGAAGCAAAGCCATATTTCTTGTCAAATAAAGATGAGATTCACAAGAACTATACTTCTGCACTAAAAAACTTATACTCTACACGATGTTTTCGTTCAGTTTTTTAGAACTGGGTTATTTGTTTTCTTACTTCGATTATATCCTACTGAAGCAATTAAAACAGTGGAAAGCAGAAACTCAATCCTTTTCGAATATTCTAAAAAGACTGGCCAGTTTTTGAACAGCAAAACGCAAACAAGCGTTACGTTTACGTTTACAAAAAATAACACCCCCAATTATATCTTGCGGTCCCAGCGTAGCTACCCAGCTTGCGGAAATCTTGTGGTCGCTATCGAGTCTCGATGGACTGGCGGTCGCTTATTTAGTGTCTGAGTCCCTCGGCTGGTTCACCCGATGATCGTATGAAGGTTAAGGCCATAAGACCGTCACCGAGTTCAGCTGAACTAGTGCGGTATGCCAGGTGCGCGCCATGTGGATCCCCCACCCAGCCAGTCAGACAGGCTGGAAGGGAGACAGAACAAGCTACCGTCCTACAGCAAGTCCAACAAACCAATACAACAAGCACCAACCCGCTATGCACGAATGTCCTAGCAGAAACGCCTGCCTCACAGTCATCAGGTACAAAGAGAGTCGACAGATTTCTCTAAATCACTCGTTCTGCTGTCGGCCAAGCGAGCTGACAGGCGTCAGAGATCATCCGTGTGTCGATTTTGCGTGAAGCAACTAGAAAGTGTCTACTACTACTAGTACCGCTAGCGGCCCACAACTATTTCAAGCAGAACGATATCAGTGATCCAGATCTGGCTAAATCATACTATTACTATATGCACTCAGTGCGGCCGCTGCTTCTACCTTCACATATGCCGATGAGGCACAGCGAAAACGATCAGTTGCTGGACGAGACGAACCACATTAACAAGATGGAGGCGGCGGTAGAACAGGAACTTCTACAAAAAGAGACTCAACTTTGGTGGTTGCAGGAGAAGGGGTCACCAGAATGAGCCCTCATATAGGATGCAAAGCGACAGGCACACACATGCACTCACCTACACATCTCAAGAGCAGAACACTTATTGTTCTGTACCATATAACGAGCGTCTTGAATGGGAAAGGTGCGGCATTGATTCAGGTAGGGGAGAGTAGTCTGGGCCAGCAGAGGGTCACTTAGAGTTTGGAGATTATCGAGACACAAAACGAAGCATTGCAGAGCAAGAGGAAAACGATGGCAACTACGAACCACACGTTGAGGAACGACCCGTCCGACTGAGACGCAGGCGATACGGTGCAATCGGCCCAGCAAACAGATGAACACAAATAGATATAGCGCATACTTGTATTTCGTTCGCGCACTCAGTTTTTTTCGACTATCCTTAGAGGATGTGGGCCGAGCGCTGACGAAGGGTCCGCCGTTTAAAGTTGGAGGCTAAGCAGACATCGGCCAGACGGCGTAAACTATGAGACAAGAATGACCAAACGCGAACCCGGCGACTCAAACCTAGACCCAGAAGGGACGGCGGCCGAGTAGAGGAAGAAAGAACGATGAACGAAGCGGACACAAACGCAGATGAGAAAAGCAACACCATAAAAAAAAGCTCCCACCTAAAAGAGGAAGTCGGTTGTTTCAAAAAATCGGCCGTCTCTGTCCACGTCCGCGTTCGTATCCAGTGTTAACTTGATTTTCTAGCAGCGCAGCACGCCGCAGCGACGCCGCGAACGTTAGCCAGTATCTTTCGCCTATAACATGTATACACACGCTGATCATCATTGTTGATCGTTTAGCATGCTTCCCAATGACACCTGTTTAATATAGCTTCACCGCGTACAGTATAACGCTTGAAAATTATGGCGACTATTGTTACGTCAAAGTTTTTACTAAAAACTCATGATAGTTTTACGCTAAAGAGAGCATTGTGCTAAAGTAACACAACGTCAGAATTGGCTAAACGAATAAACGCATTTGATAATGGCATACGGTAAGCTCGTAGATCAATTACGTTCAACAGGAATATGCTATTTGATCGAGTACTGTGCAGTTACTGCAACTGTATGGATTAGATATCGAAGGGTAGCAAGCACGTTAGTATACTCCTTGTACCCCTAACGTCAACTGAACGAAGGGCAGTAAAAAGCGTGCGAGGTCATAGACCTTTCCATAAACGACGCTCGCATTGACGCTGTCACTACGAAAATAAAGCGCGTCGATCTGTAAAACGGCGAGCCTTCCACTTTAGACAAACTTTGGTCTTCCAGAGGATTGAATACAATCGGACAAGTGTTAACCGCCACTGCACAAAGGGTTCACGGAGCAAAGCAAGCTAGAGCTATGCAGGAAATCTCAATTAGGACATGTGCAATAGCTCAACAAAGTAGATATCGGCATGTGATGTTGTTTACAAATAACGAAACTGTTTACTGCGTTTATTTGGTTAA